TGATTCCTTGTGTTTGTAGTGTGGATTTTTTGCTCTCCCAACCCTTCCGCATTTAATTACACAAGACACACATGAATTCCTCCTTCTTCCAAATTTTCTTAATACCAAGTGTGCCCCTAACCCCCCTTCTCCTTAATTAGTTGTGGTCAAATCATTTAAATAATAAAAGTTATCCAAACGAAATGTTCATATTTGTTGGAGCAAGTGTTAGCACATCATTCTAGCCCCTCTTATCTTGACTCGAGAGTATAGGTGAAGGAACAATAAAATTTTGTTAATGGGTTAGGATATGGGATAGTTCGGATTGTTACAACCTCTAGCAGTTGGTTTGAAATTGATTCTAAAAGAACCTATTTCACCAAGCAGAACGAAAGGGTTGATGTGGCCACAGCTAGAACTACTTGCGATTCAAAAGGTTGAAGACACAATACGTACTTAATTCAAATCTCACTTTAAGACGGTTGTTAGCTGTCTCAATATGGGTATCGGCCATTTGAGCGAAATATAGTAAAAATGGTTAGTTTGTACAAAGTAGGTTAGAATTTGCTCGACTGAAAGGAGATGAATGAAGTTGCTTGACTGAAAGGAGAGGATAGATAAGAGATGTTGGGAAAGGGGGAAAACACCTAAATAGATAGTTGTTGTCGCGGATCATAGTGAATTAGCCCATCCATTCCAAGTTTAGGAACCTAGGGAAAGGCACTAATTCTGAAAACTTCGTTTGGGCTTTCAGACGTGTCACTTTTTGATCAATTAGGTGGGGGGAAGTCTTTCACTCAATACGAAATCATATTTCTTGCAAGACCCGTTCACACGCTAATGTCGAAAATAATTGGTTGTAAAGTTATGTCCGATTGAAACTTTACCATGAAAAATATCAATGTGAACCATACAAAAACAAAAATGCGATAAATGATTATGTATTCATGAAATATTGTATTTATTCATTCTATTTCATTAAATTATCAAAGACATATAGTTTGCTGGGTTATAATAAGAAATCACGGTTGAGTGTGTCAGAAAATAGTGTAAATTATTTTACTAGGAATGTTTGATTTAATGAAAATTATTTCCCAAGAAGCTAAGCGAATAACATGAATCGGTGGTGGTTAGAATAACGAATTAGGGCATCCCAGTTTTGTAAAGACCATCCTTACTAAGGTATCATAAGGAGATTAATCTCTAGATTCTAAACGATTCAAATATTCTAACTCTCGGCTTGTTAATAAAAATATTTTAAATGTTCATTGTTTAGTAACTGTGTTTGTTAATATTTGACAAAAAATTAAATTTAAATTTTTATCAAATGAAAAGTTTAAACTTAACTAAAAGAGTCAGTGGCTCAATTAATATTGAGAATTGATTTGTTAGGCTATTTAGTAGGATAAAAAAGAAGGGGTAGAAGAGGAGAAATAAATCGCACAAACGAAGATTTATAATCAGTCTAATTATGAGAGATTTTATATCACCAGATTTTAGAAATTTTAAATCTCTCAAACTAAAATTCACAATAATAATTAAAATAACAATAACTCTTTTTTGAATCTATAAATTCAATGAAACCATCACCCAAAATTTTTCCTGAAAGACGTCTAAGTTATCTCTTCTGTGTTTTCTACATATTCTAGCATGATAAAGTTTGGCCAACGGGCCAGATATTTCATAACAGAAGAAGTCATTCAAAGAAAATGTTAAATTACAATCCAAAAACTTTAATAAAGGAATTCAATAGATTGTATCCAAAATTGAATTTAGAGCAGAGAAAGGCATTGGATGAAATTGTTCAAGTTATGGAGGAAGAAAATGGGAATGATTTCTTTCTTGATGGATTTGGAGATAATTGGAAGACATTTCTTTTGAAGGTTGTTTGTTCCAAACTACGGAATGATTTCTTTCTTGATGGATTTGGAGATAATTGGAAGACATTTCTTTTGAAGGTTGTTTGTTTCAAATTACGGACATAAAAGAAAATAGTGTTGTGCATTGCTTCTTATATTATTGCAGCTTTGCTGATCATTGGAGGTAGAACTACTCATTCTTGATTTCATATTCCAATTGATCGTGAGTCAAAATCAACATGTCATATGAACAAGAAAGCGAGTTAGCAAAGTTGATTCATAATGCTTCTCTTATTAAATGGGATGAACTTCCTATGGCCCATAAGCATTGAAGGAGTGGATTGAACTCTCATAAACACTTTGCATACGAATCATCCAAATAGTGGAGACATGATGTTTGGAGGAATGTATGTTGTACATATGCACTTAGATTAGTATTTGGACTAGTTGTAACCGTGAAGATTTTCGGAAAAACTTACCAGTAATTACTTAGCGAAATCGAGAAGATATTGTAAATTCTTCTATCAAGAGGTCGTATTTATTTGACCTTCATTGGAAGTTTTGAAGCTCTCTCAAAATATGAGATTGTGTCCGGAAAACCCTAGGTCTGAAGAACCTATTCAGATTGCATAATTCAACAAGTGGATTTTGCATAGAGGTGATGAGTGGGCTGCAATGTTTTTGGTGGAGTCAATGGTCTCAATTCCAACTTCATTGAGCATTCCACATGAAGGAGATTACATTGATGATATTGTAACTACTAAGGAACCCGAGCATATATTGTAAATTCTTCTATCAAGAGGTAGTAGTTATTTGGCCATCATTGAAAGCCTTAAAGCTCTCTCAAAATATGAGGTTGTGCCCAAAAAAATATGGGTATGAAGAAGCTATTCAAATTGAAGAGTTCAGCCAATGAAATTGCATAGAGGTGAGGTGATGGAGTGGCCGGAAAAATTCTTTTGGGGAGTCAATGACCTCAATTTCCAACTTCATTGAGCATTCCACATGAAGGAGATGGAAATGTTGCTATTGTGAATCCTTTACAGTGAAGAAAATTATTGGGTTCATCTTGTTATATTAGCTCCACATTATGAAATGATATCGACATTAATAATTACGTGATGGAGAGATTTCTAGGACATGAATTGTGTTATCATAGTTCACATTTAATTTGAATGGTTAGAGTATTTAAATAATTTAGATTTTCTTATACTATCAAACAAACATGTATCTTGCATATTAATTGTTATTTTCGTATACGCGATTCTATAAATGAATCCAACTAATTGGTCGAGCTTGTGACTAGTGGGCTTTAAATTTTGATTAGGGCGTGAACCATTGAGGATTGTAAATGTTTGTATTGCAATTTGGATTGGATGTACGAGTTTAAACTTTTGAGGATGTAAAAGGGTTATAAAGAAGTTCAAATTTGTAATAGTTTGTTTATTATATGAATTTGATCAGACACGTCACCAACCACAGCCGGATTCATGCTTTACATGTCGACAGTCATCTCCACGTTGGATAACAATTTGCATGCGTGATGTAGGGCTGGAAGTTTGGTATCGGTATTTGGGATATACTGAATATTGTACCGAATTTATCACTATTTGGTATTATTGAGTATTGACTTATTTTTTAGGGATTGAGATTGTGATTCATTTTGGAGTGTTATTCAGTATTCGGGATTACGAGATTGGTATTGGGATTGGTATAATACCGAGAAAAACCGAAAATTAATAAGTAAGAAGATATAGCACACAACATTTGGTTATTCCTCACTCTTTCACAACTTAGAAGCCCCCCATCAACTCAATTTTGACTTTCCAGTTTAAGTCGCTCTTGTCTCTCACCTAATCTCTTATTATTTTCATAACACCAAAAAACAAACGCTAGTATTTGTCGTCTCTCAGCCTCCAATTTGTCAAATTAAAGATTACCAATGACAAGAATTTGAGATGTCATCTCTCTTCCATTCTCCTTATCCATACCCTAGCTTTAGGCAAACTCAAGACTTTTGCTTGGTCTCTTTGCGCTAAATTAAACAATCAAATCTAATTTATATATTTAATTATTAATTGCAAAGGTAATTAATTTTGTATTAGATAATGCTGATTGCCATTGGGATACCGAAGTACCGATTGGGATACCAAAATATTTAGGGATTGTGATTGGGATTGGGATACCGAAATTATTTAGGGATTGAGATTGAGATTGATTTTATGGTGTAATTCGGTATTTGGTATTGGGATACCGATACCATACCGATTTCCACCCCAAATTCGTGGTGTGGGCGTGCAGGTGATCGAATCGGCGCTTTACAACGATGGTGGCCAAAGGTATTCTGATACCAAATATCGAAATCACGAATATCAAATTACACGATAAAATCAATATGAATCCCAATCCTTAAATAAACTCGGTATCTCAATCCCAATCACTAAATATTTCAGTATCCTAATCCGTATTTTCGATATCCCCATTGGTATTTGTATTTAATAATTACATATATAAATTAGAGTATGTAATCTAATTTAGGGCAAAGATATGAGGCAAAATCTCTTGAGTTCGCATAGAGCTAGGAGCCTAGGACATGGATAAGGAGAAGCGTAAAGATAGTGATATCTGAATTTCTTATAATTTGTAATCTTTAATTCGACAGATTGGAGGGCGAGAGACGACTAATGAGAGTTCTGTATTTTTTTTGTCTTACGAAAATAAAAAGAGATTGAGCAAGAGACGAGTGACTTAAACTGGAAAGCCAAAATTTGGCTGGATGATAGCTTGTGAGTTATCAAAGAACGAGGAATGACCAACAGTTGTGTGCTATATTTCATTTGTCTTTAATTTTCAGTTTTTATCACTTATCAGTATTTTGGTATACTGATCTCAATCAAGTAATCTCGAATACCGAATAACACTCGAAAATGAATTCCAATCCCAATCCATAAAAAATAAATCGGTATTAGGTGATGTCAAATAGTGATAAATTCGGTACGGTATTGGTATATCTTAAATACCGATACCAAACTTCCCACCCTACCAAAGATGGTGGCCACCATAGGTGTGTTTTGTAGAGGGTGTTTGAGAAAAACTAGAGTTGTTTTACATTGAAATTTGGGCAAGAATAATATAAATGAGCGGCATTATTGTAAATTTGAATTTTTTAGAGCCACAACACATAACTTTTTTATTTGACATGAAAAAACAAAACAAAAGGACATCATACAGCTTGTTTTCTTCATTGAAGTTGCCATCATTTCCTGAGCACGTTTCTACTATCGATCTACTTCTCCTCTGCTAGTCAAGCGGGACAGCTAGTGTTGCAAGATCATGCAAAGAGTGAATTTCAACCAACTAATCTTTCCCCTTTCACCAACTTGCCCAAGCATGTTAAAACTGATTTTATATCAAACTGGTTCGGATTTCAAGCTTTACATTTGTTGTTGCATTCATCCTAATCAACCTTGCATATCACTGATCTCTGTTTACTAATTCAAGCATCATCCAATGGAAGATGAAAAGGGTCTTGTATCCATGTTCCTCATCGTAGCTTGTCTCTTTGTCTCGTGGGTTTTCGTGCACAGATGGAACCAGAGGAACAAGAAAGGTCCAAAGACATGGCCGATCTTTGGAGCAGCCATTGAGCAGCTGATGAACTTCGACAGGATGCACGACTGGCTTGTCAATTACTTGTCCGAATGTCAGACTGTCGTGGTTCCAATGCCATCCACAACATACACTTACATAGCTGACCCTGCAAGTGTTGAGCATGTTCTCAAGACCAACTTTGCTAACTATCCAAAGGTAAAATAGAAAAGAATGACCAACTTTTCACATTTCTTCTGCAGCATTCATTTTTGCAGGTACTTACCGTTGATACCACTATAAAAACTAGGGAGAGACGTACCATTCATACATGGAAGTTCTGCTTGGAGATGGGATATTCAACGTCGATGGAGAGCTCTGGAGGAAACAAAGGAAAACAGCTAGCTTTGAGTTTGCTTCCAAGAACTTGAGGGATTTCAGCACAGTTGTCTTCAGAGAGTACAGCCTCAAACTCTCTGCTATCCTCACTGAGACTTCTTCCCACAATCAAGTAGTAGATATGCAGGTATAATGTTCAATACATGACTCCAGTCTGTCTGATGCGTTCACGAGCCTGTAATTATCTGGCCTGTAATTTCTTTCACAGGAACTTTTGATGAGGATGACACTGGATTCAATATGCAAAGTTGGGTTTGGAGTCGAGATAGGAACTCTGGCACCCGACCTGCCGGAAAACCAGTTTGCGCAGGCTTTCGATACTGCAAACATCATCGTAACGCTTCGGTTCATCGATCCATTGTGGAGGATAAAGAAGCTGTTCAATGCAGGCTCGGAAGCTCTACTTGATAAGAGCATAAAGATAATCAATGATTTCACGTATTCTGTAATCAGAAGAAGGAAAGCAGAACTTGAGGAAGCTCAAGCAACTGATAAAGATACCAAGGTAGTAAGTTATTCATAATAAGAGAATGAAAAATACCCCAAGATATTCACAAAAGACCATTAATGGCTTTGCTTTCCCATGCCACAGATGAAACACGACATATTATCGAGGTTCATAGAGCTAGGCGAAGACCCAGAGAGCAAAATGACAGACAAAAGCCTAAGAGATGTTGTTCTCAACTTTGTGATAGCCGGTCGAGACACGACAGCCACAACTCTCTCATGGGCTGTGTACATGATAATGACACATAGCCATGTAGCCGAGAAGCTCTACATGGAACTCAAGGCATTTGAGAATGAGAGAGCAAAGGAAGAGAATGCAACATTTGTTGAATGTGATGATGTGGATGACATTGAATTGTTTAACAAGCGTGTGATGCAGTATGCAGGGCTTTTGAACTATGATTCATTAGGGAAACTGCATTACCTCCATGCAGTGATTACAGAGACACTTCGGCTTTACCCCGCAGTCCCTCAGGACCCAAAAGGGATCCTAGAGGATGATGTGTTGCCAGATGGTACTAAAGTGAAAGCCGGAGGCATGGTGACTTATGTGCCTTATTCCATGGGAAGGATGGAGTACAACTGGGGATATGATGCAGCTTTGTTCAAGCCAGAGAGATGGCTGAAAGATGGGTTGTTCCAGAACTCGTCTCCTTTCAAGTTCACAGCATTTCAAGTAAGTCTTTTCCTCAACCACTTTGCTACTAAACCGAATTTTTATTTATTGTTGGAACTAAAGGGAGCTCTCGGCCTGCTGGTGTGTTCATAGGCTGGACCAAGAATCTGCCTTGGTAAAGACTCTGCATATCTCCAAATGAAGATGGCACTAGCCATTTTGTGCAGGTTCTTCAAGTTCAGTTTGGTGCCAAATCACCCAGTTCAATATCGAATGATGACCATTCTGTCGATGGCACATGGCTTGAAGCTGAAAGCAGTCAGATGCTTATAAGCGACATATAAGTATATTCATGCAAAGAATGAAATGGTCACTGTACCTTTTCCCCATTGAATAACCTCTAGAAATTCAGAGTTCTAAGCCGAACTAAGAACAACAATGTTCTGAATTGCACAGCGATGAATCACCAGAGATCAAACAGCAATCTTCCACAGTCCATCAAAAAGGGATCATGCACCATAAATGACGAATAAATGAAGAACTCGACACCTCATTTCCAATATAATTTTCATGATTCAACACAAAGGAAAGCTTTGTACAGATAGCTTCCAACATTTCAAGAACACAACCCCGTTAATGAGTCTAATATTCATGCATGTCATGGATTAAGATAGGTGGAAGGACATCATGGTTTACACTTAATTACTTCTGCTTCTTCTCTTGCCACTCACGGATCTGAGTATCAACCTTAGCTTGAACAGTTGCATGAAATCCCGGGTACGGTTCATAAGCGAAGGTCTGAAGAGCCTGAGAAAGCGAAGAGCAAAATACAGTCAATCGTGTCAGAATAAAATTGCCGAAAACCAGTACAAGGAATGAGATGAAAAAAAAAAAAAACAAATTATGACCTCCAACAACACAAAGAAGGGAGCCATTAGAAATGCTTGAACAAGATTGTCCAAAAGAGCTGGTGCTCGTTTCTGCAGAAAATGAAATCAACACTTAAATCACATAAATAAAATCAATAAGACATCACTGAATTCTCAAGCTCTGAAGATTACTATACCTCAAAGACACCATGCCCAATGAACTGCCCAGTCCAGCATACTATCTGGGCAACCACAACAACCTGAAACAGTACATAAATGGAGCTCTCAGCAAAAGAATTAGATTTCCCCAACTTGAAGACAAAAACTTGCAATCAACCGAACTGGTATGCTAGTAAGACTTCTCTTGATCCAACAAATCAATCTAGTTCTTTTCAGCGTGATAAAGACATCTCTTTATCTCAATTTCAAGTATGTCACACAAGGAAAAATAGATTCTCACTTGACAATCAATGAGTTTTGCATTGATGGCAAGACTCAAATTCCTTGAATGGAGCCTAAACAGTACTGAATCAGTTAAAACAATTACAAAGTCAAAAGCAAAAGCAAAGCTTCAAAATCCTCATCATCGCAGGTTAGGTCGCGGTACTTTTATCAGAAGAAAAGCCAAAATGACAGCATCTTTGTTTCAAGTACATGCCCAAAATCAGAACAAAAGTACAAACTTCAGTTTAAGAATTTCCGAAACACCAGCGGAACTACAGTGAGAAAGTAATATACCAAAAAATTCATGTTCCTTTTTTCTCACCTTCCAAGAAAGGGAGAATCCAAGCCAGGAACCCAAGAAACTGCTGGCCACCCAGCAGAAGAGCAAGAGCAGAGTAGCCAAGGAGCCAGCTTTCTTATCCAGACAGATATAGAAAACGCCATATATCACTGTAAACAACAACCCAACATTGAGAACCAGAAAGGTATCGATCCCCAAGATGGAGAACTCAAACTTGGGCGGTAAAGAAGGCGTGAAGTAGAGTATCAATTGGGCAGTGAAGAGAATCGGCCAGACGAATATCATGTGAATCAAAATATTCGTTGGGTTGCTGTGATAAGCTCCATAGAACGCGAAGTGCCGCTCCAGATCAAACAACGAACAACTCCCCATGAATACGAAAACAGGAGCTCAAAATTTCTCTAAGCCTGTTCTGAGAGCTTTGAGGAGAATACAATAATTGGGGTATTGTCGATGTAACAGCCGGATTGACCTGAATTGATTCTCAGCGATTGATCAGTTGCAATGAATGATTGATATTATGAATGGAGGAATTGAGAGGAAGGAAAGAAGGAGAAGAAGAGGAAGAAGAAGAGGAAATCTGTTTCGGTTATTTGATGTCGTCGCACAATTACCAATTTATAATGACGGACTAATTACAAACGACACCCCAAACTAAACATTTTTGACAAATCAGTACTACTCGTTACAATCCTGACTCGTTAACAACAGATTGGTCTCCTAAGTCTGAAAACAATTAGAACTAACGGAAAAATCCACAATGAATTTACAAAAACAAGAGGAATTGAGCTTACGCCGTAACTTCGGGTGCATGATGACAGCTATTTCAGCTAGCATTTGATGGAGCACTTGCTTCATGGAGAAGCTACTAAAGTACTAATAACTAATCAGAAGGTACTTTAATAATCCACGTAAGCAGCTGCTCAACAGATGCCCAATGAAATGCATCACCTAGCCTCATCGGCAGATCCAGAAATTTTTTGTAGGGTGTTATTTTCCAAAAATTAAATTAAATTAAATTAAAAATTAAATAATTCATAAGTCAGAAAATATCTGATTAGTACAAATTTTAACTAAAGATTACAACGTGTTTTCATATTTTGAAAAAATAAAGGGTAAATACAATTTAATATCCAAACCTTTTATTTTACACAATATAATAGCCAAACCTTTTCGAAAACAATCTAATATCCAAATCGTCAACTTTCTGTCTGTTTGACCGTTAGTTGACACTTCAAAAAAGTTCGAAGTACGACACTTCATCATTATCCATCGATATCTTCTCTGAAAATCCACCAACATATCGTAGTTCCAAACCCGAGAAGTCCATGACTCCGCCATGATGGTATTGAATATCTAAATATTCAGTCATCTGCAATGCCAAAACAAGAAACAAAGTTGTATTGTGACAATTTTCCCTAAACAAAGCTTTTTTGAAGTGTCAACTAACGGTCAAACGAACGGAAAGTTGACGATTTGGATATTAGATTGTTTTCGAAAAGGTTTGGCTATTATATTGTTTAAAATGAAAGGTTTGGATATTAAATTGTATTTACCCAAAAATAAATATATAATAAATTTGGTGTCTACACTGCTCAACAAATCTGTATATCTTATTAGACAATGATTCACGAAGTGATCACATATTCGATTTCTAACCTTGTTCTTGATGTAACTCAAAGTTGAAAAAATTCTATCAACTCTTACCATGTAGCCATAAAATCAATTCAAATTAAGGGTAGCCTGTAGTTAGTTTAATTATTAGGTTTTGAAAATATTTAAGGATAAGGAATAGCATTTTTACTATTACATAGTGTTTAAAATATAACACTAATGGAAAATATGTTTAATAATAGTAGTGTCCTAGGTTTGAATAACACGGTTTACCACTTATATTTTGTTAATCATACTCAAACTACTATCGAGGGTAGGATAATCGTTTTTTCAAATTTGAAGGTTGTCCCGAATTACCTATTATATTTTCTTTATTCATACAAAACTACTACCGCGGGTTGAATAATCGTTTTCCCAAATTTTAGAGGTGTCCCGAGACACCCCTTAACACCATGTATCTGCCACTGCCTAACCTTCCTTAATTAGATCTATACTCCACCAACATAATTGGTGATCTTGTTCCTAAATTCACAATAACCCAACATACAAATTGATCCATAACAACGATAACTCCACCAATCCATATCATCTTACCTAGTAGAAATAAGTTGTAAAACCATGAAAGTATCCTTTAGTGGAGGTCAATGCCTCTTCCATGTAAGGTTTGATTCATGTAAGGTTTATTCTTACCTTGCATCATGGCCACCGCCATATTTGGTAGGCAACAAGAACCCTATTAATTCCACCCTTGAGGAATCGCGCTAATCAACCGAGCACTGATCTATTGCAAGGACGATCATGTCCTGTCACATCACACAACATTATAATTTGAATTCTACAAAATATGAGATGGTAGCTTCTCTTTAGCACACAATCAATAAAAAATAAACCATACATAGGAATCAAACGATAGAAGAAAATGCTTAAACTCATACGCTATACGCCTGCGTAGACACATATTATTTGTACTTGGATAATTTTGACTAATCAGAACCGTTGATTTTCATTTTAAGATTAAATGAATCTTATAATTTGGATTAGAGAATTGGGGACTAGGGTTCACCCATTACAGCTTATGGTATAGTATCATGCTCCAAACTCCGGTTAATTCATGGTCTAAATAACAAAACTCGATGGGCGTACGGTATGGTACGGTAAGCGTATGCCAGGCATACACTAGCCTAGACCATATATATATATGGCCAAGGCTAGCGTACACCTGGACCATACACCCACACACCAAGCAAGAATCAATGTTTACAAGATCAAAAGAACCTCTAGGGTTCACCAACTTATACAACTAACACACTAGCCACTCATGGGGACGTGATTTTAGGGGAACATCTTTCAAAATGAGATCCTTAAAATGGTATGAAAATTGGCGTCATTATAGGAAATCGACACCTAGGGCATTAATTCCTCTGCCAATATGAGTTTGGCCGAGTCCTGAGTTTGGTGAGGTACTCTATTGATAGAGTAACCCCCCTCTACAATCTTATGTCGAACATCTACCTCTAAGCACAACTGCCAATGAGCCAAAGTGCTAGCGAGCGGCTCAACGTTTGGCTTGGAAAAAACTCGTTTGGAACTCGACTTGTTTAATAACAAGTCAAGATTGAGCTAAAGCTTCGCGAGCTAGCTTGACTTGGTGGCTTGTTGACCTTAACTCGTGAGCTGGCTTGTTTAGAGCTCATGAGATGTCTCAAGATTGTGGCTAGAGAGCCAACTAGATCACCGACTTATGAGCGAATCGATCTATATTTTAGGAATTGGATTCTAAGAAGTCGCATGATTATTATATTATGTATCTCACCATATATGAAGTTTAACATGTTTAACATGTACGAAAATATGTCTGTTTTTAATTTTAACAAGAAATTATGTGCCAGAAATTGCTCCAATGCTATGAAATAGCGTGCTTTGAATGATTTAAATCTATTAACTAAATAATATGATACCAACAAAGTATAATATGAGATGAGTTAATGTTGAACATTTGACTATTAGTATTTTTCCATCATGACATCAATCACATGTATCATATATGAATACAAAATGAATGTACCAAATACGAGCTAAGTTTTTAGAAAACAAGTCTAGTTCGAGCTCGACTCGACTTATTAATAAACAAGTCCTTATGTCAAAACTTCCATCCGAACACCATCAACCACGATTGAACAGTGGTTTGGGCGACACAAATGTCTAAAATACCCCTAATAATTTCACTTTAATATTTTTGTTTCTATTTTATAGCCTAATACCCTGAATAATTTTAGTTTAACGAAACTTAGAGAAATAAATGGACGAATAAAAATGAAATTTCCCCTCCCATTTTGTCGGGGCCAGGTTGTCTACACCACAGTTGGACCGTGGTTCACAATTTTTGGAAGAAAACCTTAACATAAGAGTGTGTTTGATAATTTTTCTAAGGCATAACAATGTGTTTGAGGTGAAAAATAGTAGAGAGACATATTTTTTTTATAAAAATACATGCTAGAAGGTCGTATTATACTTATAACTCTTTACTTCAATACTGAATATATATTATAGATAGATTATCTTAAAGTAGGCTGTCTTAATACACACTTCATTTGATGTTAATAGATTTCCACTTTCTCAAACATTTTCTTAAAAACCACATATAAATCGATTAGATCCCAACTGGATCATACTACTTGCTAAACGGACGTACCGATATAAATTCAGCTTTAACATGGCCAAGACAGCAGAAGCCCAGTCGGTTAACCGAAGAAGCCCGATGAATCGGGGGGGAAAAGGAGGAGGCCGGCCCATGACTAATTATTGACCCAACGGACGCATCTCCGCGCCCAGCGCCATGAATGGGTGGCAGTCTGTCTGTCATGTCATGTGTCCTCTGCCTCTGTTTTTTTTTCCCTTTCCTTCTCTCGATTTCTGCGTGAATCTCAGGCCACCATAAAAAAAAATTACAAAGATCGGACCTCCCTCTCCCCTCTTCCCATATCTAATAGTGTATCATCGCCGGCGACTCCCTTAATCCTCGAGAATCCTCAGGTAATCAATCAATCAATCAGAATCCCCCCAAAAAGGGAAACAAGACGTTGAAATTCTTGTTCTTCTGCGATTAAGATCATTTCCCGGGAAATCAATTTAGCAACTTCCGATTTCTTTGGATTCCAGCTCACACCGCGTCCTTTGATTCTATTCTCGCCCCGGTTTCGGCTGGGAGCTCGCCTAGGCTTTTCTGAATCGGAGATGGCGAGTGGAAATGCAGACAAGGAAATGATGGAGCAAGAGGGTGGTCAACTCGATCAACACGCTGGGAACAACGAGAGCGGAGATCCCAAAGTCTCCGATGGAAACGCCGACAACAACCCTTCTCCCTCGCCGGAGCAGGAGGTGAGTACTAGCTAGTTCATCGGAGAAAACGGAGCTTTCCCCGGATTTGGGTTTTTTATTTACGTTTTTGTGCAGGAGCAAATAATTCGGAGCAAGTACGGAGGGATTCTGCCCAAGAAGAAGCCATTGATATCCAAGGTTAGTGGAAATGGAGGAAAGAAGGGAGATAAAGTTCTTTAAACTGTGACTGAGATTTTCCTTCTGGTTAGTGATTGATTCAGTGTTTGTTTGGTTTAGGATCATGAGCGTGCTTTTTTTGACTCTGCTGATTGGGCACTGGGAAAGGTTTCTCTCAAATTCCTCTCTTCCTTGTCCATTGAAAAAGCTTGCTTCTTTCTCATATCTATCATAGTTAGTAATCATTTGAATGTTACATGAGCAGCAAGGAGCACAAAAGCCTAAAGGACCTCTCGAAGCTCTCCGCCCCAAGTTGCAGGTAAAAATACCTCTCTTCTCTGTTCTCACTTTTGGGATTTCCTTCCCTTGGGTGTTCTTTAAGTCAGAAAAGATCAACATTTTGTGGGTTACTCTTCTGCTGGATTCTGTTTGCAGCCAAATCGACAGCAGCATTCAAGAGCCAGGCGATCGGCTTATGCTCCTGGTGAAGGTAAATAGATGTGCTACCATTGATCGACACTATTGCTAGCTCTCTCGAGAGGTTTTCTGATTATGATGCATAAATGACGAAGAGCTTCGTGTTTTGATATTGGAAATGGCAGGTGGAATGGCAGCTGAGGATGGGACTTCCCCCACAGACGATGAACCTGGTCGATCGGGCGAATCAGCTGCTGCAGAGGAGCATATGGAGCAATCCCAAGTTCAATAGGGTTTCTCCCCTCATTCATCCGAGGTTGATTTTTGCTGTTGTTCAATGTGCTTCATGGGTTTCGAGGCTGAACATGAACTAGACAAGGAAGGGTGGATTTTCTGAATAACCAGGCGTTGAGATGTTTTTCTTGTTTTGCTGCATCTGTTTTCTGTTACTGAGATGTTCTTCATACCGAGTCTTCAGAACTACTTGAGGAAGATTGAATCGAACTGAGAGAAGTCCAGGTTTTGTTTTGTATGTTGATCTCCTCTTTCTTGTCTCTGCTGTTAAGAATACTGATCTGCACAAGTCTTGCCATTCAAAGAGAGACTATCTGGTTATATGAAAATCGAATTTTTTTATCGGGATCAAGTTACCCAAAAAAGCATGACCAAGCAAGAAGAATGTACCAATTAAATGGGGGTAATGGAACAAGTGACTACTACTGGCTACTGTACTGACCAACCACATCTATACAGGAAATCAGATTACATGAAACTATTAGCAGCACGTTCGAGTTTCTACACCCTGCTCTAGTTCAAGTGAAAAAGCTTCAAATGAACAAAACCTCCTCTAGGCTCCACCTTTCCTTCAGGCAAGGATGTCAAGTCTCTTGACTAAAACAGCCAGAAACCAGAGCATTTCTTTTCCCTTGTGCTTTCTTGTCCAAGTAAAGATCCCTTGCCGTCTACTGGCTGCTGGCCACTCATCAAAGCAAAATCCGGTATTCGGGTTCCACCTGCAACAACGGTTACATGACCTACTTCTCATTGATGGTTACAATCTTCATGCTACTAAATGCAGCCCGAGGACTATACCCATGAACAATCCTATTTCAGTAGTCTCCAGCAGAAGGAAAAAAAATACATAATACCCCTATAGTGTGTATGTTATTAATTAAGGTGGCCAATATTAGAAAAGGACAGCAGAAATACATACCCCTTCTTGGCATCCACAGAATATCAAACACACGTCAACCCTGCATCAGCTTGAAAGTTCATGAAGAAATGTATATTGCACAACCAAGGCCTATGAAACTTGAAGCAATCTATAGAAGAAGGGGGAAAACGGCTCCTACCCTACCATTTACCTTCATTGAACTGACATCTTGAAGGAGATCACCCCCAATATGCACCATTACCTCGCAGGTAAATCGTGCCCATTGCTATATTCCCACAACAAACCTGAACACATACCATACCAAGATATGTGCTTTCAAACTCACAAACTACTTCTCATGGTGTCAAATAATTCAATCTCACATCACTAAGGAAAACTGCGGCAAAGCATAGTGAAAAAGATATTAAACAAAGGATAGCTCCAGTTCGGAAGTTTGAATCATACAGAGAGTAGAAGCAGATGTTATAAGAAATAAAACAAATGAAGCAAGCCTACAATGACATGATGATACAGCATGGAAGGATAGAATGGTTATATAACCAATATCTCAACCATTATGCTGATTAAAAACTACAACAACCAGTTGCTATATGAGTATCTCTAAAGGAAGAGGACTAGTTTGCAAACATTATACTGATACACTAACTATTATAGCTGTTACATTAAAAGCATGCCATATAGGCACAGAGAATGCCTTGAGCAAGCAGCTTAAAAACTTAAATTATCGTGTCAAGGTCCAGGAATTGAATGATCAGTTGCATCATCAGATCACAGGTCCAAAGAAAGCATCGAGTGGGTGGACCAAGGTGAAGTACAATTTTTCTCAAACGTGGGTCATCTGTGAGCATTTTCTGTTCTAGGCTGAAGGCTTCATCAAATGGGCATAGGGGCAGGCTTCGGGATTTGTAGATCGGTGCTGTTTAGATAGCAGAGGGAAAGGCAACACAGGCAGAAAGGTGTATTAGAGTTCTAGAACTAGGAAGGTTGGAAAAGACGTGATCATTGTGGTGATACGCCCTTTAAATAAGAACAAAGAAACTAATCGCATGCTTTTGAATCACTACCAAAACTAAGGAAAAGATCAAAACCCAAATACCTGCTGCCCAATAATGGAGATTAATATCCATGATGCTTTCTTTGCGACATGGGGCTTTGACCCGCCAACCTATTAAAGGATATAAATGTCAGTACTGAAAGGCCTTCTTGGTGTTGACAATTACCATATGTGAATAATCAATCAACTGATAAGGATTGAGGAGCATGGAACAAACGCACAACTAAGAATGTTGTAATTAGTTTCACAAGGTTCAACAGCATGAATACATACCCAGCACTATTGGATCGACCAGAAGACAAGCTGCCATATGCACCATAACCACCACTTTCACCACCCTGAAACGTGACACAGGTACAAAGAAGATTAAGAATAGCCACATAGAATCATACAAAAAAAAAAAAAAGGAATAGCCACATAGCAGATATTCTCCCTGATAAAACAAAGATAAGCTCACCAAGGGATTGGGATAACCATCACCATATGTCCCAGAAGATGATGGGTAACCACCATGTACACGAGATTGACTATCTCGCCCTCCATGTTTCAGACCATCTGACATGTCCAAAGACATTGGGACATATGGAAGTGCCGGAGGAAATGAAGATAGGGCACCGTCTCTTCCAAATACATTCGCTTTCAACCTTAGCATTACTTGTAAAAGGGCATTGCTGGCAACATCATGGTTTCCAGTGATCTGAACAGCATCGAAAGAAACAATGAAAGAATGTTGTAAGAAATTGCACAGGCACATAAAGAAATGGAAGCACAACATATATAGCTCTAAATCATTCACCTGCACCATTTCATCCTCTTCAGTGGCAATCTTGGGAAGATTATCCTCAGAAAGAATCCTTATACTTGCCCTAGTTACACTCCTCATCTCAGAAATAATGGACCCACCTTTACCCATAAGGCATCCAACCTGTGATCTTGGTACAAGTAAACGGGTGGTGAGTACAGAATCTCCAGAGTCCCTTTCAGTTCTCTCACTGCATCGAGGCTGCAATTTCAGTGCTGCATTGATAGTCGGAGATTGATCATCCAAAACCTACAGAACACACATGCTCAGTTGGTCAATAATGAACCACTATACAGGCTTTCTTAATCATGCGGCCTAAGTTCCCTACAACAATCCCCCACATTTTTTCTTTCCCTTTTCCCATACATATCAGAAAGATACAAATAGATAACCCACCTCTTTTGCTGATACAAAGATAACGCAATCATCTCCTTCAGCAGCGGAGCTATCAACTTTGATGGAAGCCCTAGTTTCCTGACGAATTTGTTTGATTATAGCACCTCCTTTCCCAATCACACTTCCAATATTTCCAATTGGACAGAGCAAGCGAACAGCAAAATCCCTGGCAGACCCACCATCGTCTCTTGAATCAGGGTACGAGGATGGCCAGCCACCTTTGTAGCTTCCATAAGCACCCATTGCTGGGACACCAGCATTTGGTGCTGCGAACATGCCACCAGACTGATACGGGTTGTTGGAAGTAGACAAAAGCAAGTGCTGGAAGCGAGAGGGATTCTCATGAAGGCGAGTCGCTACTTGAAGAAGCGCCTTCTTCACAACTGCAGGTTCTCCTACAATCTAAAACACCCCACCGAAGGGGAGAAAAGGGAAGAAACAAATTTTCCACTCTGAATCACAAGAGTTTCCATAATTGGAAAGAGGGTTTACTCGTCTAGTAAGTAAGTAAATCGCAAGTTAATGGACACGAAAATTTTCAATTTAGAAGCATATAGGCGCAAAAGGGGAGGAGAGATTACCTGGAGAAGCTCGTCGTTAGTTAAGGCAAAAGGGGGAAGGTGTTCATCTTTCAGAATCCGAATCTGAGCACCGGTCTCACTCCGAATGCTCTGAATCACCTGCCCGCCCTTACCAATAACACACCCAATCTGATCGGAAGGAACAAGCATTCTTAAAGTAACTTGCTTCTGCTGAACTTCCCCAAGCTCATCCTCTTCTTCCACTTCCTCATCACTAGTCCCGCCACCACGACCGCCGCCACGGCCGCCGTCGCCTCCCAGCTCCTCCGCCACAACCCTGTCGTGAACGAGAAAGAGAGCGTGCTGAGCTGGGCAGACCAGTTCCTCGTCCTCCCCAAACGGATTGGTCGCCTCGCTGGAGCTGTAAATCGTGACAATGCGCTCGTCAAACCCTGGAATCGATTCGCTGATTCGAATACTTGACCTGCTCTCGGCCCTCAGCTGCTTGGCGATCTCCCCGCCACGGCCGATAATGCTCCCAATCTTTCGGAGAGGGCACAAGTAGCGGTAGACGGTGTCGTCGCTGCCAATCCCGTGCTGGAGTTCGCCGGTCTCGTCGCCCGCCGGGTTGTGGCGCTTGCCGCCGCCGTAGTCGGACTGGGAATGCGATCTCTTGCCGTAGTCGTTGCGCTGGCCGGCCATGGCCGATTCGTTGTCGGAGGAAATGTTGAGGAGAATCGGAACAGAGGGAATTGTTTGAGAGGGCGAGTCTAACTCAGAGTCGTTTTGTGTGTTCGGGAACGGGGAGTGCTGAGTTGATAGAGATTCCAGAGTCGAGTCTCGAAAATTTTGCTCGATGAAAGGTCAAACACGACGTCATTTAGGCGTGTCGTTTGACAAAACTATGGACATTAATCAATTATGATTTGTTAAACTTTTTAATTCATTTACATATTATAACTATCGATTTAGTGAGACTGTGAAAGTAATAGTCAATTTCTGAAAAATATACAAAATGTCGTTGAGATTTCCTCAGTTACATTAACGAGACACTGACGAGGATGCCACATTGACGTCATGTGGACACAAGATCATACTTTAGTGGCATAATACACATGTATAGCCATAACTATTGACTTTGTGACAATAACAGTTAATTTCTCAGTAATACACAAATTGTCAAATTCCGTCCAAAACTTTAGCAGAGTCATTTTAGATGCTAATTGAACTAAAAATTTTGCAAAATTGGCGACACATATTTAAAAAAAACATTATCATGTGGAATTAACTAAACACTCGCATAGAAATAATTAAAAAATATAAGATATATAAAAACAAACGGAAGGTTCATCCACCTCCAATCCGCCTCAACGTGGCATGACATGTCAAGTTGTCTCTTACGTGTGCGTCAAGGTGACATCCTCGTCAACAACTTGTTACTTTAATCCGACAGAATCTTTAATGACGTTATATTTTTTAGCAGAAGTGTCTTAATTTGTCTAACCAGTTTCAAAAACTAGACATTTTTTGTAATAAAAATGTTACTATAATTGTCATAAAGTCGATAGTTATGGTTATGCAAGTGAATTTAGTTAATTTCACCTAACGATATTTTTTTTATTAAGGGTCGTCAAGTCAGCAAAAACATAAGTCGAGTCACCATGTAAGTTTTGGACGGAATTTGATATTTTGTGTATTTATGAAAAATTGACTATTATTGTCAATTTTTTTTTATAGTTATGGCTATACACATGTATTTTGCCTTGTTAAAATGAGGTTTGATGATTAAGATATAAGAATGGCCTTGCTAATGGGTAGTTGCTAGCATGGCGCTGAAATTACTGATTACTTTTTTATTTCAAGGGGTTGGTCATAATTCATGTTGATTTTTAAAGTGAGGGACACACTTTTCATTTTCTAAATTATGGGGGGCACACGCGTATAACATTGCTTTATTTATTATGCGCCTTGTGCCTTACTACAAGTATTCTGAAGCAGAACACAAAACACAAATCGTAAATACAACAAACCACATCACAAATAACATAAAGTAGACCATAAGCTCATAAAGCATATTAGAATCTCAACACAGCACACAATTCATAAAGCATATCAGAAAACTCAAAGCAGTTAACAAGTTCCCCGAAGCAGACGAGAAACCTCATAAAGCATACCACAAGTTCCTTGAAACAAACAAGAAACCTCATAAAGCAGGCCATAAGTTCCCTGCCATAAACCTCATACAACATACCACAAATTTCCTAAAGCATACTGGAAACCTCAAAACACATACCACAAATTCCCCGAAGCATACCAGAAATCTAATAAAGCATACCACAAATTTCCTTAAACATACCAAAAAATTTAGACCAAACCAGAATCACAAAAGCTCGCACAACAACGCTCATGAAGCGAACCAAAAATATTAGGATCCACAAAAGTTCAAGAAAGCATTAGGCAGAAGGCGAGCATTGAGGCTCTGCCTTGGGGCTAGCATGCTTAGGCATCACCTAGGCGTGCCTAAGCGTTAGATGTAAACGTAGCAAAATATCTCACACTTGTCTAGAATCACAAGTTTACGAAACAATATCATCGCATCTACCTCTCATTTTGAAACTTTCATCAACAACACATGGTAAAACATTAATCATAGTGTGTAGAAATGAGTAAGGAAGAAGAAGATGGAAAATAGCGAAGCAAATTGAGAGCAAATAAGAGCACAAAAAAAAAATCTCTAAAGATTGTCGTCTCTAACTATATTCTAGCCTAACTATAGAGAAATCAAGATCGTACTCCCTAGTAACATATCAAAAGGTGGAAAAAATAAGCTGTGACATTATTTTGAGGTGCAACTCAATGCTGACTAGGTGCCACCGAGGCCACAATGTGATTGTGACTCCTTCTCCGCTGCTTTTTGCCAAGACAAGGCATTTTCTTTCTGACTTGCGCCTAGACGCACTTTTTAGATCCATAATCTACACCAGAATCACTAGAAATGCTATGAAGCACACCAGGTTGGCCAAAAGAAGAAAAACAAAGAAGCATAAGTAGCATTCAATACATCTGTCACTCTTGCTTTGTCTTTCTAAACCAAATTTTACACATGGGTTTTGATAAGATAAAAATTGGGTTTGTATTATTGAGCTCATTCTCCTAACAACTACTCCAAGTCACTAGAGATGACAATTTGAATCCGCTTCCCTATGTATTATCCGACTTAACCCATATTGGGGCTAGTATTACCCGACCTGTTGTAGTGTTGGGTAGGGGATAGTGTACTACTTCCGACCTGCCCCACCACGTCTCGCCCCAACATTGACCCATTCTATCTCAATTTTCCTCAATATCTATTTGCATTTCTCCTATTCTAGTAATAGTTTCACACAATGAAACTTTAAATGGGTGCAATATTTGATATTTAAGTTATTTAGACTCAATTACACATTCTATTACCACTATTTTTTTATTCATGAAGTGTTTTCCTTTGTTTTATCATAAAATAATTATTTTTGCGTTTATTTTTTCAAATAATATGTGAGAAAAGTTCTTCCAGCCATATACACGCACATGTATTATTTAACCTGAACCGTGGTTTGTGCGAGATAGTGCAACATATTATTATTTTCACCGACACTACATATCTTCAATTTGCGACTCGATAAGTCACCTCCAAGTTGTGTGTCCTTTAGGTGGCATTCTAAGGATTTCTCTCCTAAAATTATGTTAAAAGCTTCCTTGTACAAGTGGACTCGAAATCCTTGATTTAGGGTCAAAGTAAGACCTTTAAGAAGCTTCTTGGGATTTAGACACCGAGCGCCGGCCTATCAGAGGACAGAGGGTACTGGTGTCATCCTCCTCCTTTTTGGATTGGATTGCTTGTGGGACAAGCAACGTCGCCTGGCAGTTTAGGTTTGAGCTGAGTGCTTTCGACTTGCAGTAGTTGAACCTGTCTGTAGGCTGTTGTCAATTTCTTCTCCGGTTTAAGCGAGTTTTCTCTATTGGGATCCTCTTCGGCTCTAGTTACGACTTCTTGAAAAGTTTCCCTCTTTAGGATTTGTCTGATAGTTTAAAACCCTTTAATCTTCTCAAATATGCTCCTATTGATCCTCCATAATTGTCCAAGTGTTGGTCCAAAGTACCCTAGGTTATGTTTTACCTTGAAAAGTACAGAAACATACCAAGAAGTCATAAAAAGATACAAAAATACAACCTAGGTCTAATAATAGTTCATTGATCAAATGTTACGAATTTCTTATGAATTCAAGTAAAAATTAAAAACTCTTAAAGATACATTGATAGAAGAGGAAAATGTATCAAATATGGGAGTGATGAGTGCTATAATTTTAGTGTTATCAAGTGAGGTACCCTTAGAGAAATGGTGCAGGGATGAGCTGGACTTAGTTCCTTTTCCTATTTTTTGCCATGATCAAGTCATCAATGAGGAAATTGATTGTCTTAAGTAGTGGTAGTTGCGCAAGCAAGGCCACCAACCATACGACAATCTTGGCGTGTGTTTCTAATGACCCTGACCAAGGATTGGGCTCTGAGGACTCATCACACAAGTGACACAACCAACCAACCTGGTTGTGACTAACTTATATGTTGTTGTGGGACAATCCAAGTACCATATCAACAATACAAGGGAAGGTACCCTTGTATATTAGTGTCCACCAAGCTCATTAGTATGAGGCCTTTTGAAGAGGACACCCAAGAGTAAAACCGTGCGGGCTTGGCCCAAAACCCTTGTATATAAGTGTCCACCTAGCCCAATTAGTATGAGGCCTTTTGGGGAGAAAACCCAAGATTAAAACCGTGCGGGCTTGGCCCAAAGCGGACAATATTGTACTAATTGAGCAGCCCAGTTTGTGACAAGTGGTATCAGAGCCGCCCAATTATGGCATATACCATTCAGTGTTTTGGATTAAGTGATCCATTTTTTCTTACTGCAATATCGTAGTCTCAACTTCTCTACGAATCATGTGACAAGAGCTGGTGATACTGGGTCTGCCTGTTCCCCTTATCTGAGTAAACTCTGTGACATATGCAAATTCTCTAGAGTTTGAGGAGTTTCCCAAATGTTACACCCAGATAAAAAATGTGCGAGTTATTTTGAAGTATGTTCTCAATCCATTCCGCAAACATGTGTGCGAGCTGGTGGAGGGTAAACTCCATGGTCGAGATATTCCTTGATATGTCATTGGTAGCGATGCCATGCCTCATATAAGGATTCCAACTCACCTTGCTTAAAGTTTATGATTCGTGAGAACAATTTATAGCATTTCCAAGGTCGAAGTAACTTATTAGTGAAAGCTTGAGCTAACATTTCCATGTACGGAAGAATTAAAAAGGATGGACATCGAACCAGTTTCTTGTCTTTTCTTTTTGGGAATAGATGAAGAGGTTTATGTTCACATAGTTAGACTTCCTTTTAAACTGAAGCTCAAATCCAAATATGTATTGGAACCTACTGAGTTGGTCGTAAGGGTTTTTGTTGGTGAACCCCGCAAGAGGTTACGTCTTGCAGCTTACCAATCACTAAAGTCTCTATCTCGAGTTTCAAGCTAAGATTAGATGTAGTCTCAGGGCAAAACCTTGGAAGTCTAAGTCTTTCAAGCTCGTACACGGACCAATCGTCCATGAACATGGCTTCGCAGACTACTAGTACTCAGATTATAGTAAGTCTAACATTATTTGACACAGAATAAGGTTTGTGCCTCCAGGTAAGAGCTGGATCACAGAACCATTATGAACCGAGGTTCTGCCAGAAAGGCGTCATGACCGTGAATTTTAAATCGATTTTGCTTCTCTTGGAAAAGGATATGAAAACTTACTAAAAAAACTAAAACTCAGAGAAATAGGAAAATTTGACATGAATGGAAAAGAAATAAAATAAGAAATATCAAAAGTAAACAAAGAATCTAAATAGAAAATAATAGAACACATACTTTATTCCTTTTTATAGTTGTGAGAAGTCCTCGACAATAATGCCAAAATTTGATTGCGTGTAGTACTTGCATGCCAATTTACCTGGTCCGAAGACCAGAATCATATTTCCTAGGGTCGAGTTCAATGAGGTTAAAAATAGAATGTGTAGGTTTAGGTTCATCTAGGGTTGAAGTTCCCCTTGATTTTATAAAACAAAATAAAAGAATCAATGCAAGGAAAGTAAATATATGCTAAGGGTTGGTTAAGGACGCAAGACAGTGATGCATTCCATAGAAAAGTTCCCCCCCTAGAGTTCCTTTGACTCGCAACCTTGATCTTGACAACATATGAGTTGCTTATCCACGTGAGATCTATTTCTACCTTGAGTCGCAAAATTTACCCGATAGGCAACAAGGACCCTACAATTTTCTCCTTTGAGTTGGAACGTAGTCCAATCAAGTGATGATCGATCATGGAGGATGGTCATGTCCGGTCTCACCCTACCCAAAGTCAGATTTCGAAGCACACATCTCAGAGGGATGCATTCCTTTGACTAAGCTCTCAATCAACTGGCAATAGATATAGATAATACAATGAAATCAAACATATAAATAAGATGAATCAAATCTCATATATATATATATACCAAAATTAAGAATTACATAGTAAGAAAACCTCTAGGATCCACAAACCTATGCAACTAGAGAAATATCACACCATGGGGACGGGTTTCTGAGAGACTATCAGTCAAAATGAGATCCCCACAAAACTCTCCAAATCGACGACCCGAACAAAGAATCAATGGCAAGATCGCCATTATGAAGCCGATTTACCTTATGAGTTGGCTTCGTTGTAGGTTACGTGAGCCACTCTATTGAGAGATCAACGACCCTCTAATGCCTCCTCACTGGCTATTGAGTCGGCCCGTCAAGCTTGTCGGCGGCCTGATCCGCTCGGCCCAAAGGGGAAAGCTGCCGCTGATGTTTTGCTCGGCCCAAGATGGCCGACCTAGAGCTCACGAGAGGAGAGGTGCGGCCGCCGACCTCGTTCGTCTTCTTCTCCGTCACTTCCTCCTCCAGCAGCGCGCGATCACTCAGACGGTCAGGTGGCCGACCCGACTTCGCCGCCGCCTTTCTCTCCATCTCATCCTCCGACGTCGGCTCGTCGTCTGGCGACTTCTTTGCCGTTCCATCCTCCCGCGACGAGTCACCCTTCACCCTCTTCCCTGCCGCTGCGATGTCCATCTTCATCGTCGGCTTCTCCGGCGGATCTTTCTTTGGCGATGCTCGCTTCACCCCGTTCACCGGAGACGCGATCTCAAAAAGGCTATGAGGGAGGTTCGACGCGGCGCTCTCCTCCGGCGGCGCGTCTTCGACCCGACGGCTAGGAGTTGAGCTTCATGCCTTCAACACTGGCGGTGGGTCTTCCTTCATCGACTCCTTTGGCGCGACGATTGCGGTTTTGGGTGGAGCAGTCCGCGCGATGTTCGCGGACAGAGGCAAGGACGAGGTAACCTCATTCTTCCACACCGCTTCCAGCTTCGACTTCAACATCTTTGTGAGCTCGCTGATCGAGAGCTCTTCGAATCTCGACATGGTTCCGGTACGAGTGCCTGCAACCAGGCTCTGATACCAATTGTAAGAACCCCGCTTCTAGGATCTCTAGGGACTGATCTTCGGCACCCGTGATTATACGTAACAAAGAGGGAATTAGGGATCGGGATAAGAAATTAGGGATTTAGATGAGAAAGAACATAATAGAATTGGGAATCGGCCGATGCCTTGGATTAGGAGAGAATAGAAATTAGGAGTTGAGAGAGATTAGGGTTTAGGAGACTTTGCTTAATATTCTTCTTGATTGATTATGACGTAAACCCAAGGTACATATTTATATATAGGGAAATACTGGAAACCCTAATAATAATCCTAATACGACTAAATCTCTACTAACCATAATTATAATTATCCTACCTAATATAATAATAGAAACCCCAAATAAATGTGTTTCTGACATCAAGTCAAGGAAGAAGATCACGACCGAGATTTTCCCCAGCCTGGCCGTGAACTTGTCCGTCCCCTGAAGGCTATAAATAGAAGACCGCTTCCTCCATTTGAAGAGGGCTGATTTTGAGATAGAAATTTTTGGTTAGAGAGAGAAGAGAGAGAAGCTGAAGGAAGGTGAAGGAGGAGATAGAGAAGCTAGAAGAGAGGAAATGTTTGCACTAGCTAATTTTCGATCAAATATTGACCCAACCCAAAACTTTTGGGTATGGTTTCGGGTCATTTTGGGTTACGAGCGTTCTCGGAAACAAGAATAAATATTATTCATATTTTTTTAACAACACAAATTTTCATATATGTATGCCAATAGTTTGCCTAACACATTCCAATTCAAATATTCTCAAATTCTCACATGCTAATGAAAGGAATACAAATTGCACAAACCGCCAAAAAACATAATAAGAGCAATACTACTACAAGAATCACGCGATATTTGATGATCCCTACACTCCAAGCTTGTCTTTCATATCCTTTTTGAATTTTGTTAAATATCTCACCAATTTATGAGGGATTTTATAATTTTGAGAGTGAAATACGATATGGAACGAGTTAAAAGGGTCGACCCACTGGCCCACCCAACCAAAAAAGTTGCGGTTTAATCGATTTTGGGTAATTCGATTTTGGTTTATAAAAAATGCAGTCAAATTTTAATTACTCGCTCTGTCGGGTCAACAGGTCTCGTCCTAATTTGTCAGGTCTAATCATTTCAAGTAAATTTCATATTTTGAACCTTCCTTAACATTATTAAAAAAAAGCTTTTACTTAGGTACATAATTTTGAAAGACTATATATCATATAATATAGCAATTATTCAGGTCAATCGGACATGTTATTGACGTTCGAATCAATCGAATTATGAGTTTAATCGGGTTACGTGTCAGACGGGTTACGGATCATTGCTTTTTACTCTTTTAAACAATTCGAGTTGTGGATTGGGTAAATCGGACAAATTACTCGAGTTGGATTCTGTTTGATACCTCTAGTTGACCGAACTGCCTGATGAAAGTGCAGTAGGGTAGTCGTGTGGGCAAGGGATGTATACATTTCTACCTCACCTTAACTAATTAGTATTTTTTTTGTCGAAAACTAATTAGTATCTAAGAAACAAGCAAAATATATATAGTAGTATAGTAGTTTGTCCAATCATTTCTCGTCTCAACAACCAAATTATTTGTCGTTAAATGATAAGCTTGGTGTTTTCCGTAATCATATTCCTAATCAGCCGGACCCCTATTTTCTTTTTCTTTTTTAATTACGTTTCCTTGCTTAATTATTGAGCATCATTCTAAGGAAAATCCGAAACAAATAAACGCGCTACTGCTTCTTTGTCCACATTTGTGATTTGTCCTTTTTGGCAATTTTTTACTATTCACATATATACTTAAATAAATGTTGATGTTATGGGTTAGATTTAAGTATACACATTTGAATATTGACGTTAAATATTGAATTTAAATACGATAATTTTTTTAATTTTTGTTATAGTGTAGTATTTTATTCAATATAAATGGAGATTATAAGTAAATTTTCTTAAAATAAATTATATAAATATATATTATTTATTTGGTGTTAATAGTTTCTCACTCCCTCATATTAACAACCGTATAAACCGACAAATAAACTCACTCTACCCTCAATTAGAACTTACAACTTGCAAAACCGGTTGAACAATAAAACTCATTTTGACAACCTTCCTCAGTTTCTCTTGCTAGAATTTGATTTATTCATCACTTTTTCCAGTTTTCAATTCAGCACTGCACAGCAGGAAGAGAGGCTCTTCCCCTTCGCATTTCCGTTGATCTTCATCGCTCGCCGAAAAAAAGTAGGGTTTCACTTTGTCTCCATTTTCCTTACCTGGGTAGCTGACCGAGTAGCGCAGGTGGATTTTCTAGTGACTTCATTTCCGCTTTTTCCTCGCCTTCTGCAGTTCACTGTGTCTAGCTTCTAGGGTTTGGTATGCTTAATCTCACGGTGCCTTCGTCTCCTCTCGCACCCATTCGTGAATTTTCCTAGCTCTGTCTTTCCTCCCCATAGTGTTGTTCCCCGCATATACAAAGGCGCTTTGGGGTGCTTCTTGTTAACGATGATAACTTCTGTATGAAATTTGAACTTGATTACTCTGTGTTTATGTTCAGGGGACTCTGTTCTCCGTTCCATTTTCCCCTTCTTATCTTGGTTACTCAAGTTTGCTGTGGTTTCTCATCATCTATTGCCTGTGAGCACTGCTGATGTAGGTTTATTGGGCATATAATTCCAAAATGGTATTTCGATTCAGCAATTCACTAAAAGGGTCTTGGGGTTCTTTCCCCCCCTTTGCAGGTCCTGCTGCTGCAAACCCATTTTACTGGAGACCCTGATTTTGACAGCTTTCTGAATTGGTGTTGAACATCAAGGAGTTGATAGTTGGTGGAGGAATGTTACTTTTGGCCTTATTTAGTACATGGTATATGAGGTGGTTCAGTTTTGCTGCAGAATTATGATGAGTGATCTACGCTGAAGTCTGTTGGGGCCTAAAGGAAGTGGAATTGTTTCTCTTGCTCGTGGTGTCCTGAAAATAGCTAAAACGGGTTCCCTTTGTTGTGTGGCCGCGAGGCCGCATGGGTCAAGTGAAGCCAGTGGAGACTGGTCCACTGATCCAGACGAACCTTATTGGCAGACTAATTCAAGCTTCTCCCCGCCTCCTTTGGGATGGGATTTTAGATTTTCATCTGAAGACCTGCCCTATGAATCCAATGCTCGCAACCAAATTTATAGGTCCTCAACATCCTCGACAGTCAAAGAGGCTAGATTGATTAGGGCCAATCCCTTTTACAGTCATCAATATGATGGTGCAGGGCCTTTGGTCAGTAGTCCTGAACATTCTCATGGTCCACAGTGGGCACAGCCAGTGGTACAAGAACTTAGTTTTGATGACTATGAAGCTGCTACAAGGAGAGGTAACAAGCTACAGTTTTCCTACATATGTTTTTTTGTGTTCATCTCTGGACCTTAGTGGACACTGTATTGAATCTGTAGTGCATAGTCATATTAGGAAGTAATATATGTAAAAACACTAGAGATGAGAAGCAACCAAGTAAAATGATGTCCATCATCATGTTTTGGACCTGTTGATGCCAACATTGTCTTAAAAATCATGGTGAGGTTTTAATATAAGAACTAAGATGGATAGTTATGGTTTTTAGTTAGCTAGTTTTGTTTAGAACCTGGTCCTGCAGAAAATAGAGCCACATTTTGGCTCTCTTTAACCTGTTTGGTCCTAGCCTCCGAGCTTGTAGACACTGGAGTTTATGTCTCAACAAACAGGAAATGAGTTCTGCATTGTAACTTGGATGACCAAAGCTCTCACCCTTCTTGCTTAATTTTTATTTTCCTCCCTAAGTTCCTGCTTGAATCTGGCCCTTTGCTTAATGAATTAAATGTTTGTATCTGGATGTGGCTCACTGGTTCAGACTGCTTTTGTAGATTTACTGCTGGCAGTCATGTACTATTTAATGTTCCAAAAGAAGGGGGGAAAACCCCATGTATACTAGAACATCAATATAATCTATATGAGCAGATGTCTGTTTTTTCTGTTATTGATCCTCCTCTTATAGTTTCTTCTTCCTCTTTGTGCCTTATAGCTGAAGTTCTTGGGAAATTCCCCTCCACGCCAACTATTGAGGTAGCTAGCATAACTCTATTTTTTACTACTTTCACTCAGTTTGTCTTTCTTGAATTTTTATTACCATTTTTTTACCGTGCAGGGAACTTCAGCAAACCGAGGGAGGCTCTCTTCATCAAATTCAGACGTCAGCGACTTTGAAACTTCCTTCAAGTCATGCCTATCTTCACATTGCAATTTCTCTAGCCGCCGGTCCTTTTTGTCAAAACCTATTCATCCTTTGTCCTTCCCCTTCCATTCCCCCGGAGATGCTTCAACCAGTCAAAAAGATGCATATAGCCGGAGAAGCAGTGCTAGCAGCAGTAGCACTGATTTTGCAGACGTTTGTGAAACACTCGAGTCAGCCAATCCAGGTCGTTCATCATCTACTTCCTCAGATGGTTTCAAATGTGGGTTGTGTGAAAGGCTCCTTTCACACAGATCTCCTTACAGCTCTCGCAGAATTGTGCGAAGTGGAGACATGCCTGTCGCTGGGATTCTCTCATGCCGCCATTTCTTTCATGCTGAATGCTTGGACCAGATAACGCCCAAGTTGCATAAAAGCGACCCGCCATGCCCCATCTGTTCCAGATTTGAGGAGGGAGATTCTCCTGATCACAAGATCTTTGCTAGGTTGAGGAACAGCTTCCCAAAGTTTAGGAGGCAATTGCTCGAGGAAGGAGCTCTGCAGGTACCACCGCGGAATACCATGTTGATGCTAAACCGTCGTCGTTTGAGTTCTGTTAAAGGAAACTCGGTGAAAGCATTCCCAGGAAAGCTCAGGAATGGTGGGCTATACTCTTCACAGCTATCGGGCTCTCATTCCGCTGATGTAGGAGCTGTTGGATGCTCAAAGGCGGCTACCGGAAGCCTCTAAGCATTTAGAGTTGCTGCTAGTCCTTTAGCCTGTGCTTGAAGCCTGCCAATTGGCTAGTTTTAAAACAGAAATTGTAGATTTGTTGGTAAGTGAGAACAAAATTTGAAATTATTGGGTGTTCTTGTACAGAGATTCTCTGCCTTTTTATTTCTGAATTCAGGAGTGGTAACCTGCGAAATACGTTTGTAGCAGTTGTTTTATTGCTTGATGAACTTGGGCAGTTAAAATTATTCTCTTAGCAGAGTTCATAAACATGGGAGAAGTGGCGGTCTAGTACTTATTACTGAAAGTGATACATTACGCATTAACGGGCTGTCATCATTACTCATTCCATTCAAGACTATCACCAAGACCTGGAGAGTTTGGCCGCCAGACTTCTGTGGAAGCCATGAATTCACAATATGCCGCAGCTAATCAGAGTCACTTTCAAGCTCAATACACACTGCTTCCTTACCATGATTTATCAGTAAGACGAGTGTCTTAGGCCCTAAGGCCCACAACGTCAATTCACCACATTGATCAAATCCTCAGTTTAGTTATCAAGAATGTCAACAACAAGAGTTTCTTACATCACATGGGAATCCACCATTTAAAGGCCAATGGAATCAAGAAGCCAAGTTGCAATGAAACACTGATTTTGTCGTTGCCAATGTAGTCGAAAACGCGTCTTAAAACGCAAAAACACATGTTTTTACGTTTCTGGTTAGGCAAAACACTGCAGTTTCTATATAAAAATGTATTGTGAGAAAAAACGTTAAAACAACGGTAAAAAATGATTATAACGCTAAAAAACGGTCAAAATGTGTTTCTAATACGTTTTTGTACGTTTCCAGTTGAAGGACTTTCAACCAATTTCACACCCTCTCTTAAGTATTGTGTCTCGAAAAACCAGTGCTCTGAACATTGATCCCTACGGTCAACTCGACCTACAAAGAGTCTTGAGCTTGTCCTCTAAGTTTGAGCACGATCCAACTGTTATTTTCTCTGAAATCCTCCCCGGAACAAACTGTCTAACTATAGGAAAACAAGATCGCACCCTGTCTGGCCAGCAACATTGTGCGACAAAGCAGATATCGTAATGATAATTCAAATGGTCAGATCGGATCTCAGAATGTGTGGAATGTGTCCCCCAAAATTCAGGGCAATCCAACTACTAGTGTTTTTGGAATTCTCTCTTGAACTCACTGTCTTGCTACAAAACAAAAATTAAGCAGCGCCTCCATTCCTCTCATCCTTTCCTTCTTTTCTTCTCAATTCTCCAGCTCTAATTTCCCCTAAATTTTCTAGTTCCTTCAAGGTTTGGTGTTGGTTCATAATTTAAAACTCGTCTAAGCAGTGGGATGATGTCACCTTGATGCGAGCATGACATATGACGTGTTCAAGATGGACGAGGATGTTACAACACAACTTCATCAAGTGATTACTTCGTTGTTTGATGTGCGACATAGGTGATTAATATTTATTAAAAAACTTATTTCTCGCATTCAGTGGATTAAAAATCTCATAAATCATAATAAAAGAAGCATCGGTAATCATTTTTAATTTGACATCCAAATCGAAACAAAACGGCTCCATAATGAGGTGTAGTTGTTAATTGGTTATATTTTTTTATGAACGAAGAAGCCTCATTATTTCCTTATTGCATTGTTGGTTTATTTGTATGTTTACTCCACTTTTAAAAGTTTTTCAAATGACTTTATCTTCATGAGTAGTAACCTTATTAAGTGAGACAGGTAGTTTAATGAAGATTAGTTAGATTATACACAAAAACTTACGTTTTTATGTTATTACTCATGTTTTTGCTTCTGCATAGAAATGCGCATTTGACTACATTGGTTGTTGCACAAGACGTCGTTAACCTGCTTGTTGCTACGTCACCGGTAGGGCTGGAAGTTTGGTACCGGTATTTGGGATATATCGAATACCATACCGAATTTGTCTATATTTGGTATTACTGAATACACGTATTATATATTGGAATTGGGATTGTTACTGAATTTCAATTGTTATTCGATATTAGGGATTACGGGATTGGGATCGGTATATACCGAAATACCAATCAATACCGAAATATAAGCTAGTATGTATTTTATCCTCTCAACTAGACTCTCTCATTAACTACTACACGACCCTCAACCACCAAGAGTTTCATTTAATTATACATAGATCATTCTGTCACTATTTCACAACTTAGAAGTCCCCATTCAACTCAAATTTGACTTTCAATTTAAGTCACTCTCGTTTCTCACCTAGTGTCTCTTGTTATTTTCATAACACCAAAAAGCAAACACTAGTATTAGTCGTCTCTCAACCTCCAATTCGTACGTCAAATTAAAGATTACCAATTACAAGAACTTGAGATGTCACATCTCCTCCATTCTCCTTATCCAAATCCTAACTCTAGGAAAGCTCAAAACTCTTTGCTTAGTCTCTTTGCCCTAAATTAAACAATAAAATCTAATTTATATATTTAACTTTTACTGATACACCAATTACTGATACACTCAAATCTAGATTTGTTCAGCACATCGAACCTGGTTTCTATGTTAGGACACCAGGGCAGCCTCTCTAATTATTATTGGCTCCTCAAGCTATAAAACTTCTTATAACTCCTTCAACATTTTTGAACTCTTTGGTGGGTGGTTTTGAGGGCAAGTAGTTTAATTTATAGGATAAAGAGTGATGATCATATGGTGAAAATTAATGTGGGTTTGGAAAGTGATGTTAATGTATTAGAGTCTCCATGGTTGGAACTAGGAATGACAATTATTACGAAATAATTATCATGTTTGTTCCTTCACCACGATGACATCTTTTGAGCATTTCAATAACTTATATATAAAAAATTTATGTTAGTTTGATTAACAAGCGATACAAAAAGAACTCACGCATGTCGAAGAGCGGCGTATAAATGACCTAGTATAGTATAAAAAGTGAAAATGCCACATTTCAACTGGCCAATAGTACATCATTTTACTCGGATATATACACAAACAAAATTTTCTAATTATATTTAACTTCGGTAGAACTTAAATATATATGATAAATAGACTTTCATTCATGACTAACCCTAATTGATGGAACTCTAGATCTGGAATCAGGAAGAACGGAGAAAGGAAGGTTTTTTTCCCTGGGTTTCGGTTAGAAGAAGAGGAAGAACAGATGAATAGAAAAAGAAGGAAAATGTGAATTTTGGTCCAAATGCAGACTATTAATTGAAAATCTGCTTCCTTAAATGAGCAAGTAAATTGACACAAATCCTATAAACAAATTGTCTGCTTTTTAAATAAGGGATTTGAGTCCAAATTCATCGTTATTGAAATTCCTCATTCACTCATAAAATAACTTATTCATTTCACCTCAAAAATTATTTTGTTAACTAAATTTGTATTCTTTCTTGAGGAATTTTACAATGCTATATAGCATTGGTGCTATAGGTTTTTGCCTTTATGGTACAACTTGAAATTGTACCTTTAACGTTATGGTACAACTTCATATTGTACCTATACTTTTTGTACAAATTTTTTTATGGTACAACTTAAACTTGTACCTTATGTGATGGTACAACTTTAAGTTGTAAAGTTGTACCATAACATAATGATACAAATTCTTTTATGGTACAACCTAAACTTATACATTTAATGTTATGGTACAACTTCAAATTGTACATTAAAGCACCAATGCTATATAACATAGTAGAAGTGCTCTTCTTTTTTATGTTTTATGGGAAATTATTTCCAAAAAAATTTATTAATGTGAAAACTTTGTTGAGGACCAATATCGCCTGCTCTTTTTACATGTGCAATTGTTGGCATAATGGTGGACAAATTGCACACCATGTGCACAACTTGGAATTTCCTGTATTTTGGTCATCTCGACTCCTTATTTGTTACTTTCCAACGGAAAAAGGTGGCCAAAATGAAAAAAAAAAAAAAAAAACATGAAGCTTGAATGTAACATGTTGGGCCATGTTTGGATCATGACACAGTGGCCACAAGCCCACAACCCACCCCCATGTTCCATTACAAAATAAGAAGCTCAGACACGCATGCCTTTCTAATTGTGACAGGATGGGAAAATTAAGTTTGCGATAAACTCTTGAAAATGACGCCTTATTAAAGTTCCATCAAATAAACTAACCAGTTGCAGTTTGGTTCACGAAAGGGAGGGGTTACGGTGCTAATTGTACAATAGTTAGCACCGTCCTAACCAAGGGAAAAACTACTACTAGTTTGAATTAGTAGTGATTTAGCTTAGATGTTGTATTGATTTTATAATAATCCGTAGTGTTTTTTGCTAGTTATCACGGTGCTAACCCTTATAGGGGGGGGGGGGGGGGAGAGGTTATGGTGGATACTTAATGTTAGTAACCATGGTGGTTACTAGGGATAAGAAGGGTATTTTGCTTCCATCCTAATTCAAACTACCATTTTAATTACGCAATTAATTAGGAAGAGATAATTACGGTAATTAATTATTAGGTAGTTTAATCATCGTAGGGTTTTTTGAATGGCACGTTTTTTGGCCGGCCCTATTTCTGCCGCCGTGTACACTTCGAAGTCCACTTTTTTTGCCGGAGTTGCATCATCGCCGACGTTGCATCAATGGCGACCGCCGACGTTGCTTCAATGGCGACCGCCGACTTTGCTTCAATGGCGACCGCCGACGTTGCATCATCGCCGGATGTGGTAGAGCGTAGAAGGATGGCAATGGAAGTGTTGTTCGGAGAAAGTCCTATTTCTGGTGGCGAGGAAGAGGATATGGCGATCAAAAGCGACGACGGTAAGTATCTAAACCATTCATGATTGTATGCTTTTGCTTGAACGGCAAAAAATCAACATCCCTTTTGGTCGGAAATCCTTGCAAAGGGTCTGGTATCGTCGGAGATCAATCTGTGGAAGAAGGCTTTGTAGGCGACGCTTTTGACAATTCTGAAGAAGGTGAAGGTGAATTTTTCCATGCAGTGGTAGTCCTTTCTTTGCAGTGGTATTTCTTTCATGGAGTGGTAGTTTTCTGCATACATGTTTCGGATTGGTATTGTTACGTACTTGTTTAGGAATAATGGTAGTCCTTACATTGGTATATGTTGGATTGCTATTGGTAGTTCGTATCGCATTGGTATTAGTTTGATTGGATTGGTATTGGTTCTGATTTTTGTATTAGCTACTACAATGGTAGTTATTTTTTGGCATATTTGGAACAAATGGTAGTGCTTTGTTAGTTGTAGTATGAGTTATTGAAATGGTAGTGATTAATTATTGTTTTACAAATTGCAGATCAGGTGTATAAAGTTGTCCCGGCCGACAAATCGACATGGCAGCATTTGAGATTTGAAAATAGGGAAGCATTTGTCAAGTTCTACAAAAACTTCGCACACTGGAGGGGTTTTGGAGTAAGACGTATTGGAGCTCGCTGTCAAACCTTTTCATCTTCAAATGGAAAACAAAATCCAATCCGAGGTTCTTTATTAGTTCTATCCTTGCATTTGTTATACCATTCTCGACAATTGATATAATCGATGCGGGGCTGCACTTCTTCCCAGGTGGTTTAGATTTACCCATATCCTTCTGCGGCACAGCTTCATCAATAGAGTCCGAGGTTTGCCCACTTCCAACTTGAACCTGACGACTGTTGTAGGTAAC